AGCTTTGACCTGAGGTGCACTACATCTTTGTTGCGTGCTTCCTTAGTTACACTGGGGAGCGCAATGTCTCCAACATGGTGATTGTTGATGTGAAGATGCTTTCAGGATTCATCCCTGTGAAGTCCTCAGTGAGGAAGGTACGTGCCTGTGTGGTGTGTTTTCTCTGAATGAATGTTCCCCTTACACTCTTTTACCCAAGAAACTTTGAATTCCTTGTTTTTTCCAAGACAAATTCCAAGAGTCTGGATGAGACTAGGCCACTGCAGGACTGGTATCCTCTTGACCTTACCTCTGTTCGTTGCACATTTCCACTGTGCAGAGGTGCGCCTTCCACGCCTGGCTCAAGGCCAGCACAAGGGGAGGCAGCCAACAGAGGCAGCAGTTTGCGCAGCAGTGTCCGGGCTCTGCCTGGGCCTTTTGTGGGCCTTGTTGGAAGTTGTGGAGGCTTTCTGGGGAGCCCTGAGGAACTAGACAGTGCTTGCTGCTAGCAGGAAGGGAGAGCTAGGCAAGGACTCCTGCAGGGGGCCTTGACTTCACTCCTCCTGGGAAGTTCTAGCTAGGTGGGGCTGCTGCTAACGAGCTCTCTGGGCTGCCCTGGTCAGAGGGAGTTGGGGCTTTTGTTTCAGGTGGCTCCTGATTGGGTGGGTCAAGCACCCTTGTGAGTCACTGCTAGGCAGAGGCCTATATAAGAGCCAGGCCTAGAGCGCAGCTCCCAGAGCGCAGCCAACAGAGGCAGCGAACAGACGCAGCAGTTTGCGCAGCAGTGTCTGGGCTCTGCCTGGGCCTTTTGTGGGCCTTGTTGGAAGTTGTGGAGACTTTCTGGGGACCCCCGAGGAACTAGACGGTGCTTGCTGCTAGCAGGAAGGGAGAGCTGGGCAAGGACTCCTGCAGGGGACCTTGACTTAACTTCTCCTGGGAAGTTCTAGCTAGGTGGGGCTGCTGCTAACGAGCTCTCTGGGCTGCCCTGGTCAGAGGGAGTTGGGGCTTTTGTTTCAGGTGGCTCCTGATTGGGTGGGTCAAGCACCCTTGTGAGTCACTGCTAGGCAGAGGCCTATATAAGAGCCAGGCCTAGAGCGCAGCTCCCAGAGCGCAGCCAACAGAGGCAGCGAACAGACGCAGCAGTTTGCGCAGCAGTGTCTGGGCTCTGCCTGGGCCTTTTGTGGGCCTTGTTGGAAGTTGTGGAGACTTTCTGGGGACCCCCGAGGAACTAGACGGTGCTTGCTGCTAGCAGGAAGGGAGAGCTGGGCAAGGACTCCTGCAGGGGACCTTGACTTAACTTCTCCTGGGAAGTTCTAGCTAGGTGGGGCTGCTGCTAACGAGCTCTCTGGGCTGCCCTGGTCAGAGGGAGTTGGGGCTTTTGTTTCAGGTGGCTCCTGATTGGGTGGGTCAAGCACCCTTGTGAGTCACTGCTAGGCAGAGGCCTATATAAGAGCCAGGCCTAGAGCGCAGCTCCCAGAGCGCAGCCAACAGAGGCAGCGAACAGACGCAGCAGTTTGCGCAGCAGTGTCTGGGCTCTGCCTGGGCCTTTTGTGGGCCTTGTTGGAAGTTGTGGAGACTTTCTGGGGACCCCCGAGGAACTAGACGGTGCTTGCTGCTAGCAGGAAGGGAGAGCTGGGCAAGGACTCCTGCAGGGGACCTTGACTTAACTTCTCCTGGGAAGTTCTAGCTAGGTGGGGCTGCTGCTAACGAGCTCTCTGGGCTGCCCTGGTCAGAGGGAGTTGGGGCTTTTGTTTCAGGTGGCTCCTGATTGGGTGGGTCAAGCACCCTTGTGAGTCACTGCTAGGCAGAGGCCTATATAAGAGCCAGGCCTAGAGCGCAGCTCCCAGAGCGCAGCCAACAGAGGCAGCGAACAGACGCAGCAGTTTGCGCAGCAGTGTCTGGGCTCTGCCTGGGCCTTTTGTGGGCCTTGTTGGAAGTTGTGGAGACTTTCTGGGGACCCCCGAGGAACTAGACGGTGCTTGCTGCTAGCAGGAAGGGAGAGCTGGGCAAGGACTCCTGCAGGGGACCTTGACTTAACTTCTCCTGGGAAGTTCTAGCTAGGTGGGGCTGCTGCTAACGAGCTCTCTGGGCTGCCCTGGTCAGAGGGAGTTGGGGCTTTTGTTTCAGGTGGCTCCTGATTGGGTGGGTCAAGCACCCTTGTGAGTCACTGCTAGGCAGAGGCCTATATAAGAGCCAGGCCTAGAGCGCAGCTCCCAGAGCGCAGCCAACAGAGGCAGCGAACAGACGCAGCAGTTTGCGCAGCAGTGTCTGGGCTCTGCCTGGGCCTTTTGTGGGCCTTGTTGGAAGTTGTGGAGACTTTCTGGGGACCCCCGAGGAACTAGACGGTGCTTGCTGCTAGCAGGAAGGGAGAGCTGGGCAAGGACTCCTGCAGGGGACCTTGACTTAACTTCTCCTGGGAAGTTCTAGCTAGGTGGGGCTGCTGCTAACGAGCTCTCTGGGCTGCCCTGGTCAGAGGGAGTTGGGGCTTTTGTTTCAGGTGGCTCCTGATTGGGTGGGTCAAGCACCCTTGTGAGTCACTGCTAGGCAGAGGCCTATATAAGAGCCAGGCCTAGAGCGCAGCTCCCAGAGCGCAGCCAACAGAGGCAGCGAACAGACGCAGCAGTTTGCGCAGCAGTGTCTGGGCTCTGCCTGGGCCTTTTGTGGGCCTTGTTGGAAGTTGTGGAGACTTTCTGGGGACCCCCGAGGAACTAGACGGTGCTTGCTGCTAGCAGGAAGGGAGAGCTGGGCAAGGACTCCTGCAGGGGACCTTGACTTAACTTCTCCTGGGAAGTTCTAGCTAGGTGGGGCTGCTGCTAACGAGCTCTCTGGGCTGCCCTGGTCAGAGGGAGTTGGGGCTTTTGTTTCAGGTGGCTCCTGATTGGGTGGGTCAAGCACCCTTGTGAGTCACTGCTAGGCAGAGGCCTATATAAGAGCCAGGCCTAGAGCGCAGCTCCCAGAGCGCAGCCAACAGAGGCAGCGAACAGACGCAGCAGTTTGCGCAGCAGTGTCTGGGCTCTGCAGAGGGACCTGGACAGGCTGGGGAGCTGGGCGGAGAGGAACCTCATGAAGTTCAACAAAGGCAAGTGCAAGGTCCTGCACCTAGGCAGGAATAATCCCATGCACCAGTACAGGCTGGGGGGTGACCTGTTGGAAAGTAGCTCTGCCGAGAAGGACCTGGGAGTGCTGGTGGACAACAAGTGAAGCATGAGGCAGCAGTGTGCCCTTGTGGCCAAGAAGGCCAATGGGATCCTAGGGTGCATTAGGCAGAGTGTTGCCAGCAGGTGGAGGGAGGTGATCCTCCTGCTCTACTCAGCCCTGGGGAGGCCTCCCCTGGAGTACTGTGTCCAGTTCTGGGCTGCCCAGTACAAGAGAGACATGGCACTACTGCAGAGAGTCCAGCGGAGGGCTACCAAGATGGTGAGGGGACTGGAGCACCTCTCCTATGAGGAAAGGCTGAGAGAGCTGGGCCTGTTCAGTCTGGAGAAGAGAAGACTGAGAGGTGATCTGATCAACGTGTATAAGTATCTGAAGGGGGGAGGGGGGTGGTTGTCAAGAAGATGAGGCCGATCTCTTCTCCGTGGTGCCCAGCAACAGGACAAGAGGCAACGGGCAGAAACTGAACCACAGGAAGTTCCATCTGAACCTGAGAAAAAACTTCTTCCCTGTGAGGGTGACAGAGCATTGGAACAGGTTGCCCAGAGAGGTGGTGGAGTCTCCTTCGCTGGAGATATTCAAAACCCGTCTGGATGTGATCCTGGGCAATATGCTCTAGAGGACCCTGCTTGAGCAGGGGGGTTGGACTAGATGATCTCCAGAGGTCCCTTCCAACCTAAACCATTCTGTGATTCTGTGAATGTGTTGAATGCAGGAAAAATCAGGAATGCAGGAAAACTTTGTATCACTGATGGGCATCCCAATGTTCACTGTGTCCAGATACCTCACTAAAACCATTAGCTGTGCACATCATGTTCAACTGCCTATCACACATTGGCTTGTAAGTTGTTCAGGCCTTGGGTCATTGTGTGAGATGCTGAGGAAATGAGTGGTCTGGAAAACAAAGGAGACCTTGATAAGACATTGCAGAACTAGCAAGCGAGAAAGACTCTCTTTTCATTCAGTCCGTCCACTGTGGTGTCTGGACCAAAGCTCAGTTCCGTACTAGAGCCAGGCTGTACTTTGATGAAGAGGAGGCCTGGGCATTATAACAATGAGAGGTGCACCAAGGAGGCAGTTCCTTGCCTCCCAATCAACTTAGTTGATTCCCTCATTACCCCCGTGTCTCATGTACAGTGTGTCCCACCCATAAAGCTCTGCAAGGGGGTACAGGGAGACCACCCTCAACTCAGTACCATCTTTCTCTTCTTTCTTCAGCTGGAAGGCAACCAACTTATTGAGCGCACAGAATTGAGTACCAACCATGTCCTAGTATATCTGGAGAAGGTGAGCATATGTCTGGTTCTAGGATGGGAAAGGGAAATGCATACCTTGGGACACTTGGCTGCTTGGGGCAGAAGATCTAGGCCTAAAAAATCCCAAGCATCTACTAAGAATATGAATGAATCTCACATGAATTTTTAACCCTTCCTAGCCTTACTGGTACCTTCCTCCAAACCCTCAACATGCTTTCCCTCTGCCCCTGCACATAGATCAGGCTCTGACCTCCCCCCCAGCCAGAGCCTCTCCCACTGTGGGGAAGGGCCCAGGGCCAGGCCTGCAGCCCCATGCACAACCTTGGGCCTGGGACGCTGGTGGCAGGGAAGAGTGAAGGAACCTGGGGCAGATGTAGAATTGACCGTGAGTCTCCACCCCTTCCTTTCCCCAGCTGAGCAACACGACCCTGAACTTCTCCTTCACGGTGGAGCGGGACATCCCTGTTCAGGGCCTAAAGCCAGCTCAAGTGAAGGTCTATGACTACTATGAGACAGGTGAGTGTTGGGGTGGGAGGGTACCCACGGGAGTGAGTCCTGGACATAGGCCATGCTGAGATACACAGGAGCTTTTGGGACATACAGCTGCCCCTGGCCTCAAGCTCTCCATCAACCTCAGCGCTTTCCCACTCTGCCTCAGCAGTGCTTTCTGAGAGCAGGGGGGCCCCTGGACTCTACCAACCTTCAAACCCACAGTGCCAACAGCCCAGACAGATGGAGGCAACCACCCTCCTCCTTTCTGCTCCTGCCCAGGCAGGGCTCTGCAACGATAATGGGGCACAAGTTTGGGCAGTGTGGGTAGTATGTGGATCCCCACATGGCTGTCCTCACCTGTGGGAGCCACTGTGCAGCTGTCCTCACCTGAGGAGAAGGTGAAGGCCATGGGGTCCTAGGGAGGAGGCCATCCTCTCCAGCCTTCAGACTCTCCCCTTGGGATCTTGGTGCCTGTAAGCCTTTCATGCCTCCCCAGGGAAAGGAACCAGGCCCTGAGGTAGACCCAAGGAAGCTAGGAGGAGTCCTGTGTTCAGATCCTGCCCCAGATTGCAACCATTCCAGGGCGGATGCTGCGTCTCCTTGTGCTTCTGTTTTCCCAGCTGCTACATCAGGGTGACAGAGACAGAGACCCTCTGTGTGCTTGAGACAAGGCCTCAAGGCATAAGGCAGAGCCCTGCTGGGGCTGACTGTGCAGAGTTGCTCTGCCTTGCTGCCGCGGTATCCGGATGGGGCTGGGATTGGGGCTCCCTCCCCCCAGGGCTGGGATCTCTGCAGGGAAGTCAGGGATGGTGCTAGCTGTCCGCTGTGGGGCATGGAAGAAGTGTCTCTCTGGAAGCCCTCTGCCAGGAATGCTGAGGGGGTCTGACAGCCCTGCTCTCTCCCTTCCCTTGTGTCTTCCAGATGAGTTTGCTGTTGAGGAATACAATGCTCCCTGCACCACAGGTAGAGTATTAAGAGCCTTTTCAAAGTCATACTCCACATCTTCTTCATTCTGCATATATTTTTCTCGCCCATTGTTGTCTCTGCATGCTCAATAGATAATCCTGATGAGTATGGCCCAACTCAGAGGTACAGATTTTGGATGCAAAACTGGGAGCACAGAAGGCACAAGAGGCATAGAGGTGTTAATTAATTCAAAATCCCTCATCCCTGAATTTTCAGCCTGGTTTCCATACTCAGTTTTTGCTGATTTGAATGAAAGCTATGTCTGTATTGTCCTTCTAGTGCCCCTGGGAATTTTGCTTTGAGTTTATGTTTCTTATATTACTTGCATTGTCTTGCCTTTCGGGTATCCCTTCCTACTTCCTTAGAGCTCCTGCTTTTGTAGCTGTGGGATCATTCTGAATAGGCTTGGCCCTTTCAAATCACCTGACATTCGCTTCACTGGGGTGCTCTATCCAGAGCAAATCAAGGCCACCAAAACATATCCCACAAAGCAGTAATCATGATCTGAGCTACCATGATTTCACACCACATTCTAGGACCTCTTGCCCAAACTTGGCATTCCTTTTCATAAAGCTGTAGCATAGGCACTACTCTGAACACCTCATTTCCTACCTATCTGAGCACATAGCTGTACCAGCAGTGGGGAGTCCTCATCAGAGATGAATTACTCATAGCTCTTCTTATGAAAGAGGTAAACATTGGCCATTACGGGACTTGAGCTTGCCTCTCTTGCATCGTGACAAAAAGATGTCCTGATGGCAGACCCAAACCTGTAAACACAGCTAAGTCACTTATCTGGGCAGGGGGAGACAACAGGGTGGAAAGCCATAGTTTTCCAATACGGCAACTGTAGTCTACTTAGCAACCCTTTTCCTGTTGCAAAGCCCAAGACTGTGACAGACCAGTATATGCAGCATGCCTTTAAGGCAGTGCCATTCTTTTCTGATCCCAAGAGATCTCATGTTTGTCTTTAGCTGTTATTATTCAGAGTAACAGCTGCTTCTTTCTCAGCCACCATGCTGCCTAAGCAGGAAGTGGAGTTGTCTCAGGAGGCAGGTGTTTGTCATGACTCACAGACCTGCTACCCCTCTTCCACATTTCTGATAGTATTTAAGCATGCTGGATTTTTTTCTTGGTGATTTCTGCTTTTGTCATCCCTTGCCCTGTGTTTTTTACCTCAAGTCGGCTGTATGTGTGCCTGGTCAGCCAGCCCTCAGTCTTGTTTGGAGTTTGAGCTGGCAGGATAGAGCAGCTGTGATCTTTGGTAGAGGTCTCTGCAATACAAGGCCCCATGTGGTTGGCTCAGGAACACATGTAGGGGCTTCTGTGGAAAGGCCTCACTAGGGATTCTTCTCCTGTCCTATGTGGAATCTTTGTCTTGGGTTCATGGCAGCCCAGATCTGGCTTCCCGTCAGTTGCCTGGCTTCTGGTGTTTGGAGTACAGAGGCTCCTGGAAAGCACTGAGGCCCTGGGAAGTGGTTTTCCACAGGGGCTGACTGTAACCCATGGGATATCTGAGAAAGTAGAGAAAAAGTAGTTTTGATAAGGAAAAGAAGAAAGTTTTGTCTCTTGCTGGTGGCAAGTGATGAAACGTATCTCCTTTTCTGTTCTTATCTGGTGTCTTGGAAAAGAGCCTGAGCGTCCATGTTTTTGTCCTACACCATTTGCTACCCTGGGCTGTTTCCCTCGGAACAGCTGGGCTCTGCTGATTCTGGGCCTACAGCCTCCCTCAATGGAAAAAGGTGCATAAGTCCTAAGATAGACACTGGATGGACAATAAAGCATGCCTAAAGGGTATATTGATGTGATCTTGTTGTCCAGTCTGAGACCAGGAGGAAGGCTTTAGGTTTTGGGCTACTTTTCCCAACGTGCACTAAAAGGCATAGATTGCCCTCTTCTGGGGAAGGATCATGGCAGATTGCTAATGCAGAGGTCCATCCACTGGTCTAGGTGTCAAAGGTTTGTGTTTCAGCTTACAAGGTACTCTGCATTGACTAAAAAGCAGATCTCAGTTGCAAAGCAGAAAGCTGCCTTCTCTGCCTTGAACAGTGCTGTCCACCAGGGCAGCAAACTTCTTCCATGCTCTGCAGAGAAATAAACAGACTTGAAGAGCATTTCTTACTGCCACAGTCAATGTCCTTGCTGCCTGCTTGCACTTTGGCCCTGTGTCCAACCCAGCTGTACTAAATTCCCTTCTGTGTATCTGTCCCACTGGGTCAAAAAAAGTCTCAGCCCCACATGACTTTGAAGGTGACATGAGTGCTGAATGTTGTGGATCACCCTTGACAGCTTGAGATATCCCCTGTATGACGGATGATGAAGGAACATGTCACCCCCAGTGAAAGAGCAACTCGCTGTCCTGTGCTATGCTTCACACACCAGCTTGCTTCCCACATCCACACCTTTTTCTCTCTGACTCTAGGCCTGAGAGAAGAAACTGGTATACTTCTGTAACTCCTGTCCCTTCCTTTCTCCTTTCATCCTTGCAGAGCAAGCAGATCAGGGCAATGCATGAAGAATATTCCAAGCTGCTGGACCCCCCAATGGCCTCACTGCCACCACCAGCCAGGCTGAGGGGATAGGATGTAGTGACAGATGGATAATGACTGCAAGGAATGGGAAATGAACTTTACAAATAAATTAACAGTACTGACCAATGATTTTTGAACAGTTTATTCCCAGTTCTGTTTCTTCATGCTCAGCCTCCAGTCACACCTTTAATCTCTTTGGCTTTTTAGGCTATAAAGCATCACGTTTAGCCACACTTCTGTGCAGGGCAAGAAGGCTGAAGGGTTTAAAAAAAAAAAAGAGAGTGAGATAGAGGAGAATGATCTAAGTTGAGTTCAGCCTCTCTTATGTTGCCCTCTCAGTGTTACATACTGTAAACTTATCATCTGAGATCCTATCTAACCAATGGAGGACAGGTACTTCTTGAGAAAAAGTTCTCTCCCCTGTCTTAAGCACTGTGACTTAGCTGAATTGCTCTCTGCAGGTGCTTGACCATGTCTCCCGTCTGCAGGCAACCTCAACGGCAAGCTAATGTTAAGTGAAGTTAAACCGCTCTGCTGTGCCTAGTGGACACCTCTTGCAGGTTTGTCTCCTGTTTGTAAAAAAAAAAAAAAAAAAAAAAAGTGAGAGGAGATACATAGCCTGCCCGCTTCTGTGTTTATATAAAGATTAGACTGTGCATGAGGGAGTTGTACAAGTGCAGATGGGTGTATGCATGCATTATGCCTTCAGCTGCTATCTTATAGTGGCCTGTCCTCCAGCTCAAGCTTGGGCCTTGTGAAAACTTCCATATGAAGCCTGCTGCTTCTGGCAGATTGCCAGGGAGTTGTGGGTAAACACATATGTGGCAAGCAGGTTGGCCTGTAAGCATTTTCCAGTCTAGTTTAAATGACTCATTCATTTAAATCAATGAATTGCTTTGAGGGAACTGTCCATAGTCCTCTCACAGTTAGATATCTCCAAGGACTTTTCCATTTTCTTGGTTTTGTCACATTTATTTCTGGTTTTAACCTTTCAAATGGCACAGAGAATCTTCCTGTATGACTGTGTTTATTCTCATGAAATGCTTATTGCTGGTTATCATGACTTACTGTGTACCCAAACTATGCACAGCTAGTTTTTACATCCAACCCTTTCTTAGTTTGCCTATCCAAACAGTGTTATTCAGAACAAATAAAGTTCTTCATATATTTTGCTAGATTTTAATATTATTTCATTTGTTTTTGTTTCCTGTGGTGATTGGTGTCTATTCACTCAAAACCTTATCAACACCTCACATTTAAAAGAGCCTACAGAACAAACCGAGTTCAGTGTCAGCTGAGTAAAATTCATAAACAAGCAAAGATCCTAACTGTGTTTTGATTTGATTTAGAAATAATAGAATGGTTCCCTTTCCTACTATGAGGCAATTACTTTTCCAAGCTCTCAACATACTTAGTTTTTGGTTGCTGAATGAAACTGTTTGTTTTCATTTCAGACCATTGTGATCTGCCTGAAGCTTTTAACAAACATTCCCTAAGGGTAGAAGTTCAATGTTCAGACATTCCTGTGCTTTCCTAAGGTAGCCTTGCTGAAGTGTCCTATGTGGTATGCCATGGAGGTCTTGCAAGCATGTGCCTTTGACAATTTACATCCTCGTCAGGCAGAGGGATGTTAAACTGCTTTACAGAAGATGTGAGTTTGCAAGGAAGCCCCAGAGGACAATTGATATGGCTGTTTATGGGCTACAGTCAGGTGTTGTCTAATTTAAAACTGGGCTGAAGCAAAATGCTATGTTAACTCTTTCCATGGTGGAAAACAAAAAACATCAAAACTTTGTGAATGGAACATGCTTCAGTGATTTTATAGCTTTTTAAAATAAATTATTGTGATGATCACTTTGTGATCTAATATGAAGATCCAAAGATCTAACATAACCATAATAGAGCACTTGCCAAGAAGTGACTGAAAATAAAGGAGCTGTTGCCATCCATGTACAGTCTGCTGTGAAGGAGAGTCTGTATTTGTAGACTTTTGTTTATACACACAAGTGTGCACATATACCAGTATGCAGGCCTGGCACTTTTGAACATGCTTGTCCTTAACTGACAGTCTCAGCTGGGACTGTGCATCTCCAGTGCAATCTCTTATGATCTCACAGGAGGGGAGCAGCTATGAAAGACACCAAAGTGAACTGCTCTCCTCAGTAAGGAATTCTAGCTCAAGAAGGGGAAAGAGATTTTTGAGACACCCGTGTGGACAATGACAACTCAAAGAGCTTTCAGGGTCACTGAAGCAAGTACACTGCTCCTTCTCTACAGCTGTTTGCAGACCCCTCAACAATGACACGTTTGATGCGGCTTCAGTCCCTGCCTAAATAGTGATTGTATGATAGCTTTGCCAAACTCAGCATCTGCCCAGGGAGCCAGATCACCAGAGTGGTGATTAATGACTGTATGAAT